CGGTATACTAATTAGGCCTACTTCAACACTTTATACTTAGTTTGTGATAGTTGGAAACATCAGAACTATGTTGCTTTGTTCCAGGTGTTATTTGTAAAATAAAACGTAAGTATTATTTTTTTCTTTTTAAATATTGTTAAACACGAGAAAGTAATTTAAAGTGTCCGTTAAGTAGGTAACTGAATAACTGTTTTGTTCAGTCGTTGTGGTCTGTTAGAACGTAACTAGATAGCTTTCTTTGTTCCTAACTTAGCTCACTGTTAAACCTAATTAGATAATTTTAACTTATCCTATATTCAAAAATGTCTATTAAAACGGAAGTTGGTAACTTGCAATGTTCCAGATTTGATTTTTTGTTAAAACGTGAGCAGAGAACCTGCTTTTGTGCAAATATAATTAAAATATATTAACTGATTTACAATACTTTTTAACGTTCTGTCACGTTTATCCTACGTAAGAACGTTTTACGTTGGAGTAGCGTATATTAGAAGGGTATGTTAAGCTTAGAAATGTTTTAGTTTGTTTCTTGTGATATTAGAAAACTTTTATTTGAAAATAATATTCCGCATATCCAGGACCGTAGAAAATTCCCCATTAGGTAGCGATAAATTCCCCTTTGGTGGGACTTCAATTTCTCGTTTTAAGATAAAATTTCCCGCCTTCAGCTTACTAAATTACTTCAAGACATAATATAGGAAAATATAATACTTGAAAAATGAGTATGTGTGATATTCAATAAACATATGATATGTGTATAATACAAAAATTAATTTCTATAGACGTATATAATACATACGTCTATAGAATGTAATTTTTAATTATACAAAAAGTACATTCTATAGACGTATATAATATGAAAATTACATTCTATAGACGTATATAACACAAAAATTACATTCTATAGACGTATATTATACAAAAATTTCATTCTATAGACGTATATAATATAAAAATAACATTCTATAGACGTATATAACACAAAAATTACATTCTATAGACGTATATAATACAAAAATTACATTCTATAGACGTATATAATAAAAAATTACATTCTATAGACGTATATAATATAAAAATTACATTCTATAGACGTATATAACACAAAAATTACATTCTATAGACGTATATAACACAAAAATTACATTCTATAGACGTATATAATACAAAAATTACATTCTATAGACGTAT